CTCGTACGCTTCATCAACACCTTCCAAGCCGGCGAGATCGATGGCGAGGTTTAGGTACAGCTCAAGCTCCTTGTTCAGGGATCCAACAGTTCTATTGTGTTCTTTATGATGCAAGTTCATCACCTTGACGAGGGATCCGAGAGCGTATCCATGGCTTTTGCTCAGTATCACAGTCGTCAACTTCAATGATGCAATGACCGTCTGTGGATTGCGCGATGCGGTGCTTCCCAAGACCAAGTCGACCAGATTAAACAAGGATGGGTTCAGTTTGTCTTCATCTTTATCCGATGCAGTAAGCAGCATAAGTGACTGACGGCGCTTGACAGCTGCGGGGGACCGTGGTGTCGTGGTAGACGCGTAGTCCAGGAGTGCGAGTAGATACTGAAGCATCATGTGCACGAGCTCGGGGTGGTCAAGCGCATCTAGTATATGGCGAAGGTACGTAAGTACCGCGACGGATGAACCGCCATCGGCGTCGGACGACTCAAGCAGTGAAGGGTATCTGCACGGAGTCAGCCATGATATTGAAGACATATGAGAGTAACACACAATAGCTGCTGGAGGAACAAAGCTTGGAAGTGGTCAATCAATGTTACTCTAACATCCAGAGATCTGCAATGCTCGAGCACATCTTGCCAGAAGGCAAGGTAAGACAAGAAGGTGAGAAGATGGCTCTGGAAGTCGGGTGTGAAGAAGTTCTCTGCTTGTGGATTGGGCTGCATCTCGGTGTAGTCGGAGAGTAGTAAGACAGGAGGCAGGTCATGCGCGGGGTGGAGTATCGACAGCTTTCTGGACAATGTTAGCTTCGTTGTCTCGGGTTCGGTGCGCTTCATACCTGCTCATCTGGCTGTATAGTGCTCCCAAGCCGGTCGCCATGAGCGTAGGCAGATCGCTGTTGACGATCCACTGTTCCAGATCCATGGACCTAGACGCAGACTCGAATATGTACAGCAATCCGGTGCGCGCAAAATCCCCGATACGGCCTTCGTGGTGGACATGGTCGATGAGCTGATAGCACAACGGAAAGTCCTCTTTCTGTGTGACGCCGGCGAAATCGGTTTTGGGGTTCAGCACTCGTCCCTCGCTGTTTGCGGATGTGGTCGTGAACCAGACATGCAGAATCTCTGGCTGTAGCCTGATCTTGGCTGCGATGCCGAAGAGCAGCTCCACGATGTCAGCCTCGATGTCCTCTCCTATGCCCATGCTGCCAGACCCGACTGTGCGGTCGATGAAGTTCATGAGCGAGGCGGCGAAGACGTCGTTCTCGAGGAAGTCCTCTTCCTCGCTGTCGATGAGGGCATTGTAGAAGGCCACGGCGTCCCTAACGGTACCCTCATCGTGTGCCGTCGCCGCGATCTTGGAGACGGCCGTATATATCTGCTGGGCGGCGGCGAACTGCAGGCACATGTGCGGCGCGGGGGATCGCGACTCGTCGCTGAGGATGGCTGTGAGGGCCTGGAAGCCGCGCCGGATGTTGCCCAGGGCTTCGCGGTCGTGGGCGAGGTTGGTCGACTTCTGCCATGTTTGCTGCCATGTGTCAGACTCGCAGCATTCCGGGTGACTCAGCCAGGCGTACCAGTATCTGATTGTAGCGCTGGCGGAAGCGTGCCAGCCGCTGTTGCGGGTTGTTCGGGGCGGCCTGCTTCTTCTTCTGGGACGAGCCGCCGAGTAGCCTCACCCACTTGCTGTCGTCAGTGCGCGAACCATAGCTGCAGCAGGGCGAAGACGTACGAAATCCATTTGATGTCCTACTCACCCCGCATTTGCGCCGTGTACGTGGGGTCCAAGGGTGGAAGGGAGTGATGTCGACGCGGAGCGCGCCGTCGTGGAGCGAGCTCGAAACCAATCGCGTTGCATCCTTCTCCGCACGCAGTCACCATTCACAACACACAACCTTGGAAAGAGTCTTGGGAAAGCACATTTGACATCAAGTATTATTAGCATTATCAAGACTCTACAACTGCAAAGAACACGGAAACATCGCAGGCTATGGAAAATACGAAAATTCACTATGCAAACAGTCAGACTCAGATCGCAGCCTCCTCCTTCGTCCACTTGACCTCCTTCTTGACCTTGTCCCCATTCAGCGTCGGCAGCCCACTCATACCCAACATGTAATCTCTCCCCTTCAGAACCCACACGAAGAATGAAGGTACCTTCCATCCAAATACGGCACCAACGCCGCCTCCACTACCGATGGGGACAACCATAGACTCGGTCGTGTTAGCCGTGTACACTCTGTCCTTGCCCTTGGGTTTCGCCTCTGGAAGCATGGGGTTGTAAGAGAGCAGGTCGCGCTTGATGTTGGTGACTAGGGTAGGTAGAGCCAGGTTGATGTCCCAGTAGTTGTTGCGCGAATATGATGCGATGTCGCCGAAGCCGTAGACGCGGGGGCCTGCGATGTCGACGCGAAGGGTGGAATCGTTCGTTACGAGGTAGCCCTTTTCATTGAGCAATTGATCTGGCAGCCACGACGAGTTTGGTTGAACGCCGTAAGCGGGAACGTAGAGGTCTGCTTCAAGCTTGCCACCGTTATTGAGGGTCAGCGCCGTGCGACTATCTTTTGTCTGCGTTGAATCGACCACTCGCGTGTTGTAGACAATCTCCACCCCGAGCGCTTTGAGTTTCTGCTCTGCAACTTTGGCGATTGCAGGCCGGAGACCGGGGAGAAGCTGCTTGTCCGATGTGATCAGGGTAACGTCAACTTTTGGCTGCACCTTGCTGAACCATCCTGGCTTGCCGTTGCGATGCTCAGCAACTTCGCCCGCCAATTCTACGCCTGTCGCGCCTCCACCAACGATAACAATCTTCTTTGCCGATGCGATTTGCTCGTTTGCCGAGCTGATCGCGTTCAGGGTACTTTGAGCATCGGCGCTCATCGAGAAAGCTTGGAAATAAGTCTTGCTTCCAGTTGCCACGACGAGCGCATGATACGTCAATGATTCGTCTTCTTGTCCCTTGTTGCTGCGAAATAGGAGGCGCCGCGATGATGGCTCTAGACCCGTAGCAGAGGCTTCGATGAAAGTAAAGTCGTCTTTGGAGTATTGCTTGAAGCCCTCATGCAGATCGAAGAGGACCTTGTCGGTCGACATGCGCTCGGTAGAAGCTGCCACTCGTGGAGAGGCAACCCTGAAGTACCACTGTGAAGATGGCGAGATGTTGTAGACATGATACTTGGCGTCATTCTTTGCCTTGAGAGCTGGTAGAATGTGCTTCAGGATGTAATGGGTTGCCTGTATGCCCGCGCCCGATGCGCCAACAATGACAATGTTGCGTTGTTCTGACATCGTGAAAATGGTCGTGCAGGAAGTCGGAAGTGATGTAGAAGTAAGTATATGAGATGATCTGTGATATGCTCGATATGTCTCGAAATGGGATGTTGAGATGCAATGTGTTAAATGATCTAAAAGCCGAAGATGCGTTGCTCTACATATACTCACCTCTTCAACCGCGTATGCACCGAGCGCCTGTCATCACCTGAACGACGGACCAATTTTTCGGGAAACTTGTAATCAAGCACTGAGCCCCAGTCACATCAACGTAAGGCCCTACAGACATTTCCTCGCTGCGTCGGCCGTTAACGCGTCGCGATAGCACACAAGCGAGGTTTGTAATGAGGGAAGGGCAGACCCGCCGGTCGGATGCCCACAGATCCGTGAGACCGACAGTTCGTAAGCACATCGCCAAGGCATCGGCAGCTCTCATTGGTTCTGATGCTCAAGGACGCTGCATTTCCGCTTGCTGATCCAAGGATTTATCAATCACTACTGTCTTTTCCATTCACAAGCTTTATTTGTTTCGCGTTTATGGAATTTAGTCACATTGAATGAAGAATGCGATATCCCACCTACTCCCCAATGGAGCCTTGAACACCTCCAGATCCCATCCACAAGGCACACAAGAGGTTTCTCAATCAGAGCATGCGCTCAAATCAAGTCTGCGATATCGTTTTCATCCTCCCGTTCATCGTCATCACTGTCGGAGTCGCTGTCTTCGTCGTCCGTTCATTCCACCAGCCCATTTCCTCCATGCGCGTCGTTCATGTGCTGGTACACTGCCCCCATTTGTGAGAAGACCTCGAGACACACCCAGCATATGTGTCCGTGACAGACGTTGCACTCGACGTGGTTGCATCCGTCGACTTTCTCGATAAGTGTGGCGCAATTTTGGCATTCTTTCGTACCAGCGACCGCTTTGTACTCGTCCAGAAGCTGCTCGTTATGCTTATTCTTGAGGACATGCGATTCTGCGCAAGTCAAACCGACATGAGGCTCTGCATGGCATAGAGTGCACGTCTGGGTCAGACATGTAGGGCATGTGAAGATCTTACAAGATGCGTCGCGCCGATACACTGCTTTGCAGTCAGGCGCTCGACAATTGCGATAGATATCTGAAAAGTATCGGATATGATGAGTTAACGATGCCTTGAGCAACGCATCAATCATTGTTCCGGTAGCGTATTTATGCAGGTCTGCGATGGCTAGTGGTTGTTCGCAGTCTTCGTGCCAACATACTAGGGGAAAGTAATCGTCGCTTAGGTCGGATGAAGCTACCTCCAGTTGACGATCGAAGCATTCCTTGCAGGTATAGTGGCCGCATTTGGAGAGCTTAACGTCGTTCGTCGCATCGCGACAGATAGGACATATGTGTTGTGGTGGTGGGAATAAGTTCGGCTCAGATGTAAGCAGCAGCCAGGCGGTTTGCTCAGGGCAACGAAGAACCAGTGTTTTCTTCAGCACATCAAGGCTGACTTTTGACTCGCCCAATTTGTCCCGAGCCCGGGCAACCATGCCCGACCTAAGAAGCTTTTGAAAGTTTCTCAAATCGAATTGGACCGTGATCCTTTCTTCCTCTGGGCTCTGCATGCTGGCTTTCTCTGCAAGGGTATGCTCAACAAGCCCCATGCGTGCATCATCCTGTTCAGGATCATGAACGCGCAGACGCTGTTGGAACCTATCACTCATGATGATCACACCGTTTTCTCGTGCTAGGTCCTGTAGCTACCCAGCTCCAGATAGTGTTGCGAAGAAGTCGTGCCAGATCTCGTATCGCTCAGCATGACCATCTAGTCCCGTGGTCGCTATTCTTCCTGAAAGCAGGGCCTCCAGTGTCCTCTTCATGTCGACAACCTTTTCTTGATTCGTTCCCGATAAGCGCAATGTGACCATACCCTCTCGAGGCTTCTTCCAGACTGCGTCCACTTCTGCAACTTGCGAGATCATGTCTTCCGCATTGGCCATGACAGGGTCGGAGAGCTCTTTTGGTGCAGTGAAGTACACAGTATACATCAAATGCGCGTCTAATTCTACGTTGCCGCTGAGATGCTTCAAGGCTGCAAGCGCATGTTCCGGTTGGTAAAAGCCGGCGATAGTGTTTGTGGGCAAGCGTCCACGCACGGAAGAGTGGAGTGTGTTGTTGATGTCCCCTTCATCGTAGAACCTGAGCGGACCGGCAACCGATTGAAGATTGGTCTTCATGACTGACGACCCAAAGTCACTGCTTGGACGCCATGATATCAGTATCGTGTTGGCATCCACCTTCATCGAAAGTTCGTTGGTAATTCGAATGCTAGGGTTCAGATTGAACCCCGATAAATCACAGCCCGCAATGAATTTCGCGTTGCCCCCCTCAATGTGCCTGTGGATACTTGATGTTGTCATGTTTGAGTTGAGAAAGTCCTTTACTGAGGATAACGGTGGTAATTGGGTCGCAGTCTGTCGCAGTTCCGACGTGACGATGTTATGGACGAGGAAGGGGTCTAGACATGTCGGGGCAAGTCTGATCCAAACGGCTGGAGTTGGTGTTGAGTTCTGCGGTTGCCTGGTGGGTATGTTTGTTGTTATGAATGGCGTGCCATGGCAAACGTGACGTGCAAAAACGCAATGAAGGGCCACGATAACAATGCGAGAATGAGTGGGTCGTGGGAGTACGTTCGATCCGTCGTTGATCCGTAGAAGAGTATGGAATGAGTTGGTACCGAAGGCTGGGTGCAATCGGTCCACGCTAGCGACATGAGCAGTCGCGGTGGTGGCGCACCACTTTCCTCTCTACATGGCCATTGCAACGGCATGAAAACAATGGCCCACTGCAACCGACGTGAAGAAGGCACCACCGGTGTCTCACGTCTTAGGCAATCGTTGTTCCGTTTCTTTTATGTGGTAAGGTGCTTTCGAACAACCAGTCATTAGGGCCCATCAAACACAAGCAGAGATCAACAAACATCATGCATATCGCTGTTTACAGGCACCGGAAGCAATTTGCTTGTCATGTTCGCCATTCAGGACGCCCCTTTCGACTCCTGTGATAAGATAGATACGATATAAACCCTCCATGCGCCTGTCCACGCACCAACGCCGATAAATATGTTGACTGTGCAAATGATTCCACATGCATCAGAATCATGCGGAGTGCAGTGCCTCCAGATCGAAAAAGATACCTTCGTCGATGCTGGGATCATATTTGTGTTCCAAATCCTCCATATCGAGATAATCGTTCGCGTTATTGAGACATGAACTTGGAAGCGATAGGGATAGTTGTGCGTGACTGTGTTCTTCGAAGCTGGGGTGGACTGCGGATAGCGATTCCGAAGTTTCATTCAAACTTGATCCCGAGTTGAATATGGGATCTGAAAGGTATGGAGTCCGTTGAGCAGGGTTCCTTGTTTCAACACGAGGGTAAAAAGTGGTGTCATGGCCGCTGAGAGAATAGTCATACGTCGGAGACGAACTGACATTCACATTCGATGAAGCGTACCCGTGATAAGCGCTACCAGTGTGGGGTAGATCGAAGTGCGGAACGCTCTTCAGCGACGTGACTTTACATGTAGAAACAGCCGATAAAGGCCGTGATCTAATGTCCCATTCCTGGTGGTTGGCTGAAGATGGTTCCGTGGTGAATGCTTGTTCGAATGACCATGGGTCTGCAGCCGCTGGTGCGTACGTGGCAGGAGCTGTGCGAATTTTGTTGGCAAGTCTAGGGCTTTGGTCGCAGTAGCCCTCGTCTATGACCGTCCGAAAGGAATCTTCGTGAGACACGGGCGGTGATGGAGAGATGTCCATTGTCACGCTCGTCGAACCGTTCGCCATGGAATCCACTGCCGAATCGACTGGATTCGATCTTGCAGATTGACGTTCATGTACCCATGTGCGCGCAAAATTGAGAACCCCTTCTTGAAAGGCTTTTTCTTCCATTGCTCGGCGACCCACAACGCTCACAAGCCCGGAGATAAGTCCATCAAACTGGCCACGATATTCATTGGCCCAAGGTAAAGGTATGGAATCTTCGGCCTCTTCGGGAAATAGGCGGCGGTAAATCAATCTCCACTTCTCCTCTAGTGTCCCAAGACTTTTGTAGTCTTTTGTCTTGAAGTTGAACTCGGCATTGAGGCGTTCCAGCGACAAACCGTGTACTTGTTTCAAATGATCTCTGCTGTGTGTTAGAACCCACGCCGGTGAAGAGTGCTGATTTTGAACGCAGACATACTTCAACTTGGCAAGCTCAAGATACCCCTTCCCTGTGCACGATGATAACTGGTGCGCCTTCGGATCATGCTTGTGAAATGGGCAACCCACACGGACTTCCCCCTCTATACCTACCTCGCCATGGTCGCTAGCGCCATCGTCCTCTTGCATGGAGAAGTTGAATTTATCGAGAGCACCATCCACCGGGAACCTGGGGTGGGTCCTGGTTGAAGCGGACCTTTTCCAACCCTTCTGAACCCCACTGGCGTTGCGAATGGGGATGCCCGAATTCATTGCCTTCCTTCTAGTCGCCGGAAGTCTGATTGAACCCTTAGGACCAAGGTCCGCATTTTGCTGCGGAGGTGAATATCGCATGGTGATTTCTGTGGATGCGTAAGAGGGGGCTTCTATAGAAAGTTAGCTTTAAGCGCATAGAAAAGATTGGATATTGCATACCAGGCAATCTATATCGGTCAGTGGGTTTCTCTATACGCTTGAAGGCGTTCAAGAGTGCTGACTTTGTTTGCCAGAGGTGATAGTGTCTCGCTGCCGGTCAACAAGCGAGATACTACCACCTCGTGACGAGCAGATGATAATATTCAAAAAGAATACTATCAAATGATATGTAACATTGATGTGGCGACAACGTGATAACGATGTATCGACGAGGTCATTGAGAGATCTTTGAAAGATCGAATAACATTGAGTGAACGACGAGTTCAGCAGAAGACACGATGGGTACCTCTCATCTCAAGTTTCAATCAATGCATTATGCATGCAGATCGATGAACACAGAGACGACTGGACCCATCGTAGTGGCTGCTGAACGTCCCAGACTGACAGATCGACAAGTATGCCGTTCTCATCGCGATCTTCAAAAGAGGTTCAAGCGGAATGATGTCCAAGTCTAGATAATTTTGAAATTATAGTCGTTCCAATGGAGTAACAATAAGTGACACAAATAACTTTAACACCAAAGGACCTGCACCGTGAGGCGTAGGGTTTGTTTCAGACCGGCTTTGGGGAGATGTGGAGACGTGAAGATGGGGATATGTGGATGTGTGTATTTGTGGTGATGGGGATGGGTGTAGGTAGGCAACTCACAGCGAGATACTTCAGGGCGATGAATGGGATATTGGTGCTCGGCAGGACAGCGTTGATGATGTTCTCGACTATCGAACAGTTAGTCAAAAAGGGCTAACTAGATTTGAAGACCATACCACAGTTTACGACCTGCGCATTGAGCAAAGTGCTCAGTAGATGTGTTCGGTATTGACGCGTGTACGTTGATCGAGCGAAGAGCGATATGTTGGAAAACACGAGGAATGTGGCGTACAGATAGACCGGGGCGAAAGGGGCGGCTTTTTATACTTCGCCAGACGCCAAGCGATTCGGCACTTCCGTGGAAATGATCCTTATAGAAGAATACTGGAAGAACAAAAAGGAAAGCGATCTGTCGCGTTCACCCAGCATCCTGCTGCATCATTGTCGCGGATCATGCCTCTGTCGGGCCAAGCGCGAAACACGGACCGCGTGATCTATGGAAGCAGCGGGAGTGGGAGCTGGGTGCCGATGCATCATGCATCTCGGGTAGCAACGTCTGCTGTTCATGCCAACCAGGCCCTGGGCAAGTCTGCAGTAAGGGTTGACATAGCTGTAATGCTAGAGCAAGAATCGATAAACTCTGCATGCTCTTGGCTGAAGGATTGCGTTCAGAATCAACGAGGGGTAGATAAGGCCGCTTCCGCGGCGAGGATTGATTGGACTGCTACTGCAAGTTTCCAGCTAGACCAGGATCAAAGTAAGACCACATAAGGACCGTATGTGAGCTCAGAACTGAGCTGAAGAAGAAAAACAAACCTCATGTTCGTAATCCAATGAAAGCCAACGGACCAACATCCTGGTACGAGCTCTGGGTTTTGGTAGCTTGGGTCGAAGAGACATCATGTTAAGGACAACCCCGCGAGTGCCCGAGAAGCCGGACAAATGATCACATCAGCTCCATAGTTGGTCGGGTTCGCTCAGAAGCATTCGGTACTTCCATACCATGATATACGTGACACGTGAACAGCCGAAACCCGGTGAGGTAGAACGAAGATATCATTCGTCTGGTGCTTCAATAGCGTCTAGTCGATGTCATTATACACTACCCCTCATACCGGCAACGGAGTTTAATCATCTTGGTCCCAGTTGCCCGGCTGCGCCTTTCCAGGCATCTTGGGTCCACCAGCTTGCCTTGCGACAATGATCTGGTCGACACTGAGAACCGTCCTCGCAGCCTCGGTAGCGAGCTTAATGGCCCACATCTTGCTGACCCAGAGATCGAGAATGCCCTCTTCCTTGGCATCGAGTGTACCGGTGTTGTCGTCGTTCTCAATATCGACACCGACAGTCCACTCGTCGTCTTTCCTGCCTTTCTGTGCAGCGTGTGCGACGTACAGCTTGGCGAGAACCTCAGTTGCGTCTAGACCGGCTGACTCTGCGAGAGTTCGTGGAATGACCTCGAAAGCTTCAGCGTACTTGCGGATAGAGTATTGCGCCAGACCGGATGTCTTGTCCGCAATGGCCTTGATCTTCTCAACAAGCTGCATCTCTGTTGCTCCAGCACCTGGGACCAGTCGAGGATCACGGGTGATGGCCTTGACCACGTTGACACCGTCGTCAATCGCCCGCTCAACGTCGTCGAGGTGGTTCTGAGTAGCGCCGCGTAGAACCAGAGTCGCGGTCCGTGTCTGCTCATTCTCCTGTCTGAATACTGTGACGCGGTCACCGCCAATTTCCAGTGTCTCAACGACATCGATAGTACCCATCTCATCTGGCATAGGTGCACCGAGACGAGCGAGCGGCGTAGCACCGACTACCCTGCATAACCGTCGAAGCTCGAATTTGGAGAGAACCTTGATGACGAGGATGTTGTAGCGGTTGAGGTAGTGAAGGGCCAGTTCTCCGATGGTCGAGCCAGCAACAACGACCCTCATACCGGAGTCGTGGAGCTCCTTGATGATCTGCTCCACCTG